AATTTCTAGCTTACAATTATTTCCACGTACAATATGTTTTCAAAACCTGACAGAATCACCCCCATCAATAGACATCAAATTTGGATGTGCAATGTCATGTTTGCATTTTATTTTTAGGGTTAAGTACAAAAATCACCCTTATAATATATAAAATGTGCAATTAATTGTTGATTGTTTATCAAATGAAGGACATTGTGTTATTTTAGTAATAAAAATATTTAAAATATCCCTATAAAGTAAATAAATAATAATAATTCTAAATTAGAATGCTTGATATGTATATAATTCTAAAATATTAAGGATGGTTGTTAAAGTATTCCCCTTTTATTGATATTGAGAATGAATGGTTTATTTTCAATTTAAAATAGCTTTAGGTCAATCGGACTGAAAATAAATTGTATGCTACGCAGAATGAATCAATTAGGTTAGGCAATGATTTTGTAAGCATATATATATATATAGAGTTTTGGGAGTGGCCCATGAACTTCATGTGCATACAGCTTTAGGAATGGCTCAGATTGATGCTTTCGGAAATCACTAGTATCAAGAATTAAGTATCATCAATGAAAGAGAAGACTGTGATGCTATTGTAGCAAGAGAGAGATAGTAGACAAAGACGGTTTGGAGAGAGAGAAATGATAGAGAGAAATAAAATAAAATAAAATTCTTGCTTACATCAGCATACAGATTTTTTGAAATTTTTATAGAAATAAAAAAATTGGTCAAAATTGATGATTAGGGACAATTTGTTCAAAAGATAGATAATATAGGGAGTTATATATATATATATATATATATATATATATATATATATATATTTTCTAATAAAATATTTCTTGCACATTTTTTTTTATAGTGAAGGAATTTTTTTGCACTTATACCTTTAATTTAACTAAATAATATCTAGGGTCAAGTGCAGAAAATACCCTTAAAATATATTTACAGTATATATCACACCCCTTACGTGCAAAAAAATGTTCTTAAAATTTCAATTTGGTGCAAATAAGTCCCTTTGAAAAATTTAAATCCTAAGTTGACTAAATTACCCTTACTAAACCATTTTATAAAATATATAAAAATAAATAATTTTGTAAAATGACCGAAAATGATACTATTATAGGACGCCCCTCACGTTCAAAAAATACTCTTAAAGTTTTAATTTGGTGTAAATTGATCATTCTGACAAGTTTAAATCATAAGTTAACTAAATTACAATTATTAAACTATTTTATAAAATATATAAAAATAAATAATTTTGTAAAATGATCAAAAATGACATTATTGGAGGACGCCGACAATGGATAAATAATTATAAAAATAGAAAATAAAAATAAAAATAAAGTATAAAAGAAAAGTCAAAATAAAAAATAAAATAAAATAAAGAAAAAAAAATTAGAAAATAGTAAATTGAAATTTCAAAAAATTCAAATCCTTATTCTACAAATTTAAAAGTTTAAAAAAAAAAAAAAAAATTTATTTAGAGATATTTATAGAGAAAAAGTTTCAAATATATATATATATATATAAACTAAATTGCACGTAACATCCCTATATTATGATATTAATAATATATATACTCTCTTGGAAAATTTTTAAAAAGTAAAAGGACAAGATGGGTATTATAATACTAATTTATATCTGATGAAATATTTTTGTACAATATAAAAAAATTATGAATGTTTTTTATACACTTTTTAAAATAAGAATAAAAATATAACAGGCAAAATGGTTAAAATTGTCCTAACCAATTTTATTCCAAAAACTTTTAGCAAGATCATTTCGAGCCACATAAACCCACAGCCCTCTCTATCACCCCTACCCTTTCTCACTCTCAAACCCTAGACAGTACCATACATCACTCTAAACCCTAGACAGTACCATGCATCACTCTAGATATACCACAACCTAGTACTGGCGAAGCCTAGGTTCGTTGGTGGTGGAAAGTTGGTCAAATCCTAGAGATGCACACATTTATATACCAAAATCTCAATTCTCTCATTTCTCTCATTTCTATGTTCTGAAGCGGGATTCGAATTGCACAGGACTCCAAGATTTTGCAATCCACTGCTCATGAATTGGACAAATGGGCACCTTGGCAACAAAAACCATTGCGGCAAATTTGGCTTATTAATATACTCCTTTGATCATTATAAAAAGTATCATATTTGAAGAATTATAATTCACAAATTTATGAGTCTTGATTTTTCAAACATGATATTTTTTATGGGATAGAGGGAGTATTAAATACTGATATTCGGTCTTTGATTTTTTAATAAAATATTACATTTTGGAATTAAAAAATTCTCATCTATTAATTTTTTTCTAACAAATTAGGAATAAAAGAGACTCGAACACAAGCACATCTAATGAGGGAGCTTTCCATCAACTAAATCACTAGTAAAATTATACCTAAAACTGATATAATGAAATTGATGGGAATGAATAAGTGCATAATGAAATAAAAATTGGTAAATAGGAGTGGTAATTCGTGTTGGCGAGTTATATTTGTGTTGTGTCAAAATATGGATATTTTGTTATATGGGTTGATACGAAACACGACATGATTATTACACGAGTAAGACGAACACGTCACGCGTACCTTATTTAATAAATGAGTTAAGAACGACACAACAATATATATTTGAGTCATTTCTGACACGAATACGATATATCTATTCAACACATTTAACTAAACGAATCATTTTTAACACGAACACGATACCTTTAATTATACGGGTTGTAAATGAGTTGAAAATTTAAATATGAACATGACACGTTTAATTATTTTATTAAATCGAATCGACACGATTACGACACGAACACGTTTAAATCAAATTCAAATTAACTTATAAAATTCAAATTAACTTATTTCATATTGTGTTCGAATAATATTACGGAAAAACATTGCGAAAGCATTAGCATTTTAGTATTAGTGTTAATTAAGTTTATAATAAACCTACCACTTTACCTAGAATTGGAAAATGGATACCATTAAATTTCTCTTGTTCATTTCAACTTTTAATAATTTGCCAGGAATGGTGTACATCAAAAGTCTCGCATCTCAAATCCCTATAAAGTTGCCATTTAAAGCACAAAGAAAAAGTGACCCCTCGGACATGCTATAAACTGTAATGGACTCATTGTGTTAGCTGGCATGCCCACATTTTCCACTTACGTACTGTATGTTTACACTATAGTTTATGCATTAGTCAAACTTCACTTTCATTTTGATCATAATATTTCCGTTAATTATTTGCTAAAAATACATCCCTATAGAATTGATGTTTTAAAATTTAAAAAAATTAAATTTTGGTGACCAAATCTAAACAAAATTGTTCAAAAGTAATTTCAAAGTCAAAAAATATATAAATAATGAATAGTTACTAATTTTAAAACTTAATTACTAATATGTGATCATTTGAGGATAATTTGATCAAAAATACTAAATTGTGTATTAAACATTTTTAAAATAATTTTTGCCATCTCTCTTTCTCATCGTTCTCCTTTTTCTTGTTTTTTAACTAAAAAACATTTTAAATGCCAACATTAGACTTGGACGTGAGAAAAAAAAAATGTAAAAAAACTCAAACCTGTTATGTTAGATTGGTTTACATAATTAACTCGTTTAATAAACAGGTCAGGTTAATGTTAAAAAGAGCCATATTTGAATTGACTTATTTAATAATATTTTTAAATTAACATAATACAATTATGATCCACAAACACGAACCACCATCCTCAATTTTACTTTATTAAAGTTTGACAGTGTTCAACAATTTCACTAGCATCAACTAACATAAATGTGAACACATAACGTGTGTTGTGTAGACTTAGGGAATGGACTGACTTGCAACTTGAAACAAATTAGGCAGTTTTTAGAGCATTTGATCTTGATTGATCTTTAATGTCCACTTTATCACCAGCATTGTAAAACATGAAATATCAAATAATATCTTCAGCTTTGTACTGATTGTTAAATTTCTTTAGCTTCTTTACTAGTAATCATTAGAAAAGGTTAAAGAATCATCATATGATATACTCATTTTAGTCAAGCTGTGTTGTAGACATTGAAAAATGTTACAGAAAACGAGTGTTTCGTAAAGTTACATAAAGCAAAAATAAGAAGGAATTTAAAAATAAGAATGCGAAAATGATAAAATTAAATTATAATTGTAAAATTAAAAATAAAAGTGTGTGCAAAGCGTAAGTAAGAGTTCGCACTTATAATGTGATAGCCATAACCGTTGAAAATAATTGTGTTATTTAAATTTCATATATAATTAGTATTATATTTTTAAATGTTTTCAACTGTGTTATTTAAACTTCATATATAATTAGTATCATATTTTTAAATTACATCGACATCCTCTATTGAATATCTAAATAACAAACATTTTTCCTCTAATTTCAAAAATAACATTGATCTTTCCACCTTTTCTATCATAAATTTTTTTTATCATTGATGTCATGGTTTAAATTTTGTAAAACTCACTTTTGCCCATAAAAAGCTTGAAAATATATTTTTCTCCATATATTGTACCAGTAAATAATAAAAAAAGAGTGGATATAATTGTCATTTAAAACCTTTAGGTCAGAGTCAATAGCGACGGGAAAGACTGTAATTTTTACGAACAGTGAGAGATATCTATGTTATTTAGACATTCAACAGTACGGATTAGCCTAATTTACCCTTTAATTTATTTATTTTTTCTTTTTTTATTCAACGTGTGTATTGAATTGCATGAAATTAGAGCATTTGAAAATTAGTAAAAATTGAGAAAAGTTTAGTTCCTATTTTGAATAAGAACACAGAACACAAAAACAAACCACTATCCGAAAATTGATTTGTATCAGTGTGTTAAATTTTTATTTACTAAACATATAAGGTAAAAAATAAAATAAAATGAAAATAAATAAAGATCCAATTTCGGAAAACTCTATTTGAACTTTAATGAAACAGACCTATACATTCAAATTTCAAACCACCAAACAACTTACAATAAAGAGCAAACACAATGCAATATATATTTGTATACAGAGATAGTATACTAAAGTTATTACAGTTTTTAACAAAGCTTCAACTAAATTTAGCTAATAATGCATAAACATACTCAAAAGTAAACCCCCTTCAAAAAAAAAAAAAAAAAAAAAAGGGCACAGAAAAATAATAAAATGACAAAAAAGTCCATACAGGAGAAGAACATTTACTGATCAAGTGCATTAGGGCCACTGCAGTAATTCAACACATGGTTCCAAACCCACTGCACCAAAAACCTCCGTCTGATCCCATTCATATTGTACGTGGTCCCATCACCACCGTTCATCATCTGTCCGGTGTACGACCCACCACCGCCAGTTCCGTAAATACCCTCGCAGAGATCAGCAATCTCCACCGGGAAAACCGGGTCCTGACCCGCGTACCAAGCGTTCACCAACGGGTTGGTTGCCAGCTCAGCAACCTCGTGACCAATCACACTGATCATCCCATCCACCCCAACGTCGTCGTTTGGCGATTTCAGCGGTTTCATGTTGGGGATATAATCAGGTACAGCAAACGGGTACGCACACACACTTGGGCACAGCTTAGCAGAGTTGCCCACCCAAGCGTACGGTAGCGTGTAGCCCACTATAGACGGGAATGTGAAGTAGTGGAACCCACAAACCTGCCCGCAGAAATCCTGGACGTACACGTCATCGGATGTGAGCAACAAGTAGAGCCCACTCTTGGCGTTGATGGGCAAGGGGTGCGAACGTGCCGTCACGGCGCTTTTTATCACGGACTGGATGGAGAGGCGCGTGAGGGACTTGCCGTGAGAGTAGAACCGGTCGTTCTTCTCTGCGCCGAGGTGCACCGTACGCGAAATGTTCGCGCCGGTCTGGTCCGTGTACAGCATCACCGTCTTCCACCAGCCGGAGACCGAGGGGTGCTTGGAATCGACGGCCGAGATTGAGTTGATGAACTCGCGGATGATTTTCTTCTGGGTTTTCTGCCACGTGCCGTACCAGATCGGGTGGATGGTGATGTTGGCGGTCAAAACTGGACCCATGTGGTATTTCAATTTGACGAACTCCGAGGAGCCCTCGAACTTCTTGGAGCCTCCGAACTGGAGATCAGAGGCGTTCAATTTGTGATTGGGCCACGGACGCCATCCGATGACCGGACTTATGGAGAGGAACACAGAGAGTATGGTGAGGCTTAGGAGCACCGGAACCGGTGACATGTTTGGTATTTGGTAAAGCTGAGCTGAATGCTAGTACCAATTCAGAAACAAATTTAGTGATGGTGAGGATACATTTATAGAGAGTAATATATATATAACAGAGAGAGAGAGAGAGAGAGAGAAGAGAGAGAGAGAATTTGAATGGAGCGGGCTCAGGAGCATGGAGAACAGATAGATTCTTAAAGGTAGGGTGAGGTGGGGCCTACGAGTTCAGTGACATGATGGTGATTGTCCTATGTATGATATTGATATCTGAGTAAAATATTTTACACGTAAATTTATTTTTTTTTTATTTTGGATAAATTACACTCACACGCATCAGCTTTCGCTCAACGTCACTCAACAACAACACACTTATTTACATTAACACCTTTAAAATTTCAAAAGTTTATATACACACCCCCTCTAAACCTCTTACACCCGATATAACTGTTTAACCATTTGACTTGGTCACCAAATACAAATACCAAAAAAAAAAAAAAAGTATAAATTACCAATATAACTCTATAAACTAAATTTTAAATGACCAAAATAACCTTCATTTTTCATTCTCTCTATCTCACCACCAACATATATAACCCCCGTTACCACTTCAACATTCATAAACAAACACACCCAATCTTCTTGTTCTTTTTTTTCTTTTTGATTAAGGTGAGTGTGGGTTTTTTTTGTCAATTAATAGATTTGATAGGTTGTGAACTAACTGAATTAAATAATTAGGGTAAATATGACTTTGAAACCTTTGAGGTGTCAATGTAAATAAGTGCGTCAACCGAAAATTTAGAAGGTGTAAATGCAATTTATCCTTTTTTTTTTTTTTTTTTGGTGAAATAGGTTTTTTTTCTTCTTCATACTTTCCCACGTTTGGCTCAACTCCTGAAATTATTTTCCCTAAAAATTAATTTTAGTTTTATGAAGCCTAACCAAGCTCCAATAATTTACAAAATTCTAAAAACAGAGAAATAAATTGAGATGTACTCCTAGAGATTCTATCAAGTATCAACCAGTTGCTAGATAAAAAGTAAAATAATAATATTAATAAAAAGGATAAAGTACAGCAACACCCCCTGAGATTTGTCAAAAAGACACACAGGTAAAACTTACCTATTTTTTTTGGACAAAGACACCCCTTCAAAATTCAAAAATGGACAAAGACACCATCTGACATGAGAAATTGACCAAATTATCCTTTAACCGTTTAGTGGACTTTTTAACTTTACAATTTAATAAACTGGACCAATCTACCCTCATGGACAATTTATGCAAAAAATAATAATAATAAAATAAATAAATAAGTCCTTTCTCTCTTAATACCTAACTCGATAATACCTAATACCACCTTCTCTCTCTCTCATTAGCCCAGACGGCAGTGGCAATGGTTTGGACAACCACCACCGCCACCGCCCTCTTCCTCTATCCCTCTATCTCTCTATCTCTATATATACATATATACGGCAACACCCCCGGTAAGTAGACTAAAGCCCTCTACCACCGTCACCGCACAAATTCACATATACATATCTATATATCCATATATATTCTTACAAACACAAAAGGGTTCAAATTACACACATATACCCACAAAATTTTGTATAGCAAAACCTAACAACTCAAAATCCAAACAATATGAAATTGGGTCTTTTGATTAGGTGCTTAATTGGATACCCCTACAATTTCTGACAACCACCCACCCAATGCTGTCACCCAACCGTGAATACAAACTCATCATTGAGTTATGTATAAAAATATTATCACAAAATCCAAATTAAACAACATAGACTCATAGACTCTGAGACTGAAATTATCGACGAGGACCAAGCTCCGATAAAGCAATGACGATGCGTCCACGGATTGAACAGTGAGACGAGGTTTAGAAACCGAGCAACAAAAGACCAATGAACAGAAACGATCCGGCGAGGACCAAGCTCCGATGACAACAAGGTTTAGATTAGCACAGTTCGGTGAGCGTCACTTGCAAGGCTGAGGAGGCTGAAGTGGCCATCGCCTCTATCATCCGATTAGTGCCCTTTCCATGGGCAGATAAGAATTGGGGATGGTGATGTGCGCGTATGAGGAGGTGATATATATGTGTGTGCGTGTGTGTATATAGAGAGAGGGGAAGAGGGTGTTGGTGGTGGTGATGGTGGTGGAGGCGGCAGTAGGGTAGTGAACGCCGAGAGAGGGGGGGGAAGAAGGTGGTTTGGTCTAATCTGGCGCACTTAGCAACCAAATTGTGGCTGAAATAAATTGAGGGTAATTGTATCTTTTTACTATATTTGATATTTTATAATAAATCTAATTTTAATATTGAGGGGTAATTTCGTATTTTCAGTGGATTTAAGGCCTTGTTTGGTTGGAATTTCATACAAGGGGTGCCTTTGTAAAAAAAAGAGACAAATTTCATTTGTATATCCTTTTGCCAAACCTCAGGGTGTGGCTTTACTTTATCCTAATAATAACTATTCTATTCAAATAACCATGAAAACATTATGTTCTAACACAGTAAATTATAATCCAACACTAATTAGAATTTGAGGTCAAAATAATATGTTGGACCATGATTTACTCTTCTTATTTTATTTATTTATTTATTTATTATTATTATTTTTAATCTTACCAAAAACTACACTCACAAACTTACTTTTACACACATTTTGCCTGCACCTTTTGGAAGCACGGATATTTTTATAAAGGATATGTGTTAGAGTTATCGATACTGCTTTACAAATACGTGTCCAATATTTCTTAAACGTATTCATAATTTTAAAATATATTTTTTAATTTTTAACATGTATTTGGTACTTCTGTATCCAATATTTTTTTAGATACTTTGTAACAAGTTTTGAACATTAAAAATGTGAGTTTTTCAATAATAATAATATAGTATGAGTGTTAAAATAATTTCAAAATTTATTAATCAAGTGATGACTAGGAATATTTATTTTATGCATTTTGAAACGAGCTCTTACGTTAAATTATTGATTGCATTTAGATTCATAATATATCAGGAAATTGATATATATATATATATATATATATATATATATATATATATATTGTGTATAAAAAATGTATTTATTATTATTATTATTATTATTATATTATATTATATCCTACCTATATACGGAGTAATATTTTGTTGAGATTTATGGTATTATTGTGTTCGTTTCGTTCCCATATCTACATTGAGTATCCCGTATTTGTGCTTTCAACTTCTTTGGGTGAAGAAAGAGAAATGATAGGTCTTCCGACTTCAATTGCCGACTCCTACTCTGAATACAACGTGGTTGGAAATGAGTCAAAGAGAAAGAAAAATGATAATTCCAATGTGATCCAATTACGTTATATTCGGAAGAAGAGTCGACAATTGAGATCGAAAAACCTATCATTACTCGTGAGAAAATTACACTGCTACGTATTTGAGTACATGGTCTTCGGTAACCATGATTTATTGTGTTGAGCGTTTTTACCGGTTAAAAAAAAAAAAAAAAAGAAGGGTCACTAGTATTTTGTACGTATAGAGCGGGTAATGGGTAGGCTTGGGATTTTAAATGCATTTAACGTCTTTTGGTTAATTTTTTGACTGGGACAGCCATGTCCTTGGGAGAGTACAGCATGTGGTCCGGGCTACCATTTTATGCATGTACATGTCTATCCATATCTTGACACCTGGCCTGTGTTTCCTCTTATGGTCATTCACGGTGATGATCAGTAGTTCCCTTTGTGCACAGGGTACAGAGGACTGCAACGTCATATTAATGAAATTTTGGGTCCCCCATCTCATCCAAGGGACCTCATCCGTATGGCATCAAGGCGTATACGGTTGAGACTACTCCATCCCTCTCATAATACTTGTTTATTTTGATAATTAAGTCATGGTTCTTAAAATGCATAAATATTATGGAATGGAGAGATTATTTTTTTAAAATTTTAGGGGTGTTTTTTTGTATGAGATGGGCATCCTCCAATAATATCTTTTTCGGCCATTTTACAAAATTATTTATTTTTATATATTTTATAAAATAGTTTAGTGAGGGTAATTTAGTTAACTTAGGGTTTAAATTTGTTAGAGGGAATTATTTGCACCAAATTGAAATTTTAGAGATGTTTTTTGCACGTGAATGATGTGATATGCACTGTAAACATATTTTAAGGGTGTTTTCTTCACTTGACTCTATAATAATATACTTCGTATTACATTAAATTTTATACAAACAAAATTGTCATTTTTTAAAATTTGGTCAATAGGACGGATGGAAAGAAAATGGTAGGGATTTTGTTGAGCATACATGCCAAATTTAAAGGGAAATCAAAGTAATAAAGTCTAAAGATCTACCAATGTATAATTTTGCCAAACCTCAAGGACCGTCAGTGTAATTTATTCAAAATTTTAGAAATCTATTTTCTTCTAAAAATAAATATTTAGATTTTGAAAGTTGGTAACTTGAAAAAATAAAATAGTTATAATTTGATACTTAATTATCTTTATATATATATATATTTTGACATATTTATAAAATGGAATTTCTCACACTTGACTTTAAACCTATCACTTTAATTTATAAATTTATCCTTTTTCAAAAGAAAGAGTAGAAGTAGAAAAACTTCATAATACTTTGTCATCAAATCTAACGTTCTAAATTTAAAGTAGAGTTCAAATAATTAAATACACCAAGCCAAGGACGGACCAAAAAAATATTTGAGAAGGGACAATAGTGAATTTTTTTAGTAATTTTAGTAGGGACAATAATGAATTTTTTTTAGGTATATAATTCAAAAAGAAAGAATTAGCAAGAGTATAATACTAAAAAAAAAATCCATATCAGTCCGTCCCTGCATCAAGCATGCCAAGTTTTCAGTTTCACAATTTCTAATACAATCAATTATAAAAAGATAGCTCTATGAAAATATGTCTTTTTTAATGGAGTTTTTATATAATAAAAAAATATATATATTTTTCAAAAACTGTAAATCAAACATATTTTTAATTCTTAAAAAAAGAAAATTGAACAACGCATATTCTCTTTTTCTCTTTCTTTTTCTTTTTTTCATTTTCGTAACATAAAAGGTAATTTAAGAAACATAAGTGTTAAATTGAGTGATATAATAATGAGTTATTTTCTAAAGTTAAACTGTGAGATATCTCATTTTATGAAGAAAAGT